CAGAAGCTATTTTACCAGAAATGAATTGAGAGCAGATGACTACCCGGTAGTTCTGTTTTGTGTGCAGGATGGTCAGCCCCTTGCAGGGTTGGGTCTGAGGTTTGCTCCCTGTCTGATCCCCTTCACAGGGACCGTGTGGTTTCACCTCAGTCAGGCACAAATGGCATGATCGTATGTAACTACCAACAACCATGAGCAGCTCTATGTTTTCATCATTTGTAAAATAGTATCATTTTCCCCTTGAAGCTGCTTTCCTCCAAAGTTGGTTTCTAATATAAGAACCATGTTATAGTTGTGGGACATCCACTAACTCAGGTGCAAGGCAGTTCAGCTGAGCCGCATTTGGCTCTGCTGGCCTGTCCCAAAAGGTGTCGTGTGGAAAATCCTGAGTCATGGTGCTCCCTTCTCCCCCCGCTACGGTAATCACCACAGTGTGACGAGCAGCTGTGACCAGCAAAGAGGTGTGGGAAAACAGAGAGGCTGAGCTCGAAACCAGAAAGAGGTGAAGTCTCTCAGGACAGAATGAAGAAGGAGGCTGACAGATCTTGAAGGTCAGTGGGGATGTCTTTGTCCTTAGTAAATAGTGTCTAATGCCCTGGGTCCAGGGATGTAGCAACCAGAGGAGGCTGGTATAGATAATGTTAGAACTCTGAAAATGGTCCCAAAGTGGAAAGAGAAAATGGCCTAAGAGTAGACTAAGAGCCTGGTTGGAAACAAATAGGTTTCTCAGAGTTGTAAGATGGAACTAGGAAAGTGCCTGGACCAAGCATGTGGTTGGGTCCTGGTCGCTCCCTTGCCAGCCATGTGACCTTAGACCAGTCACTCATCCTCTCTGCACTTCCCTCCCACCTAAAAAGGGGGTGCCGGCGCTGTCCTGCTCCCGTCACGGCACTGTGGGGTGTTCAGGTACCGAGTGGGTAAGGGAGAGGATTCTGTCAAATTCAACAATGATCTGAAGGGACTTCAGACGTAGGCGACATGGCTTATTGAGTAAAAGAATTAATTCCTTTTATGGTAATATAAGATGCTCCTTCCATTTGGGTCTAGTCTTGGGGTTGATTGGGGCAAGCACCTGCTGCGAAGAGCCAAAGGATGGCTCTCAATGTCCCATTTCAATACCCCGGGCAGATGATGGAAGAAATGTGGGTTTCTTCAAGAACAGAAAGATTCGTTCCTCCTGCTCACCACAGAATAGACCCAGGAGACGGTGTCCACTCCCTTCATGTGGCATCTTGTGCTGTTGAACTTTATGAAACTAGAAGAGAATGCTCAAGGTAGGTGGAATACAAAGCTGAAATCTACGTATCCCCACAGTGAAACACTGAAGGCTTCTCAGTCGCTGTTTTCAGCCAACACCGTCTACACGGCCTCATGGCATTTTCTTTTCATAGCCAAAGGCAGCCAAGATGGCAGACCTTTGGAATTAAGTGGACCTGACCCAAGAGCCCCACCTCTGCAGATCTGTGCTGAGATGACCTAAACCAGAGCAACTCCCATAACCTCTGGTCATAACTGAACCAACCCTAGCCTTTAGGCATGGAGTTAGAGCAACAACTACAGCAGGTCCTCAATAACATCATTTTCTTCAAGTTATTTCATTATAACATTGATGAGATGCTGAAGGAACTTCATTCTTGTTTATGTCCATTAGCCTATGGTAAAACTGGTTTCATTATATATTGTTTCTCTTAAAGTCACAAAATCTATTGGCAACATTGAGGATTTAGTATATAGGTAAGGAGAATGAAAAAATACACATATTTTCTAAGTAAGAAATTTATTTGATTAAATTACAATATATGAAGATATTTTAAACTATAAAGCTCTATTTGGACAAAATGTAAATTTATTATAAAGTGAGTGTTATCAATGTAAATGGCACCTGAGAATAGTTTCCTGTAAATAATGTGACTGTATTGAGCATTCATAAAATCTTCATGTACTTTAAAACTAGGTTGCAATTATAACAAAAGAACCTGTAAATACTCCTGCGAAGCAGTTTCTTAAGTGACACTTACAATTTGTCATTCAATGCGAGGCATTTGGGTGCTGTGTGGCAATCAAAGAGCACGGCTAACTTCAGTGAGAAAGTATGTCATCTGATGAGCAGAGCCAAGGCCAGGGTTACGCCACAACCTCTAGCTCCCTGCACAGCGTGCTCTCCTTTCAAATCCTTGGGAGTCTGAATTGAGGAGGTGGGAATTTCTAGTCACCCTAGTTGAATTAGGAAAACAGGTCGGGAAACTGAGGTTGGAAAGAGAGGAGAGAGGGGAAAACGAGGCATAGCAAGGTCAGAGGTTCCTGTAGAGCAGCTTTAGAAATGACCAAGGAAATGATGAAAAAAAACAACAGTGACTCCTTCGAGCTGCACACTGGGGTCTGCAGGGAGAAGGGCACCAGGACCCTGAAGGTCAGAGCTGGCGTGCATGCCCAAGTTCATGGCTGGGGCCGCCCACTCGCTAGCTAGCGTAGGTACCTTCACTGGAGGGCGGAGTCATTACCTGGGTATGCCAGGGACAGGGCAGAGTGTGTAGTTTACACCAACTTTCCCCAAATATTTTTCCAGCATTCAAGTGACTTTGTTTTGGGGTCAAGATTGGTCCTGGGACACAAGAATCAGCAGCTGCAAGTTATAAAACCAGAAAAAGCTTCAGATGTGTGGGCAGAGAACTGTAAGAGGAAGGTGATGTCTCCTAGTGCGCACATTGCTGACAGCAAAGCACAAATGTGTCCAATGATTAAAGCGGAATTGAACCTTAGGGAGGTATGGAAAAGATCCCAGAAAGCAAAGGAGGGTAACTACAAAATAATTATATAGCACCCATTATTACTAATTTAAGACATATAAACATTGTTGAAAATCTATCTAGTGTCTGTGCTTTTATTTTATAAATATAAATATTTATAAGGGCATTCAAAATATTATAAATGATACATACATTCTGGTATAAATGTCACACTCCAGGGTCAAACAACAGACTTGATATTACATTTGAACATAGACTTTGGGTTATGTATATAATAATTTTTGCAGACCATTTCTGAACATTTGTCACTCAGCAAAATGTGTACCGAAAAACACAAAAAGCATCTTGTTGGTGGCTTTGGCAACAAACATGTTTTTTGTCTATGTATTTATGCCTTACACAAACATGCGCTTGTTCACTTGTGTAAATAAATTTAATGTCATTGAGAGGAGACCTTACACTTAGAACTCATTTCTGTTTTCTTATCTGCTTCTCTGCTATCAAGTCTACATGGGAGGTCCCCTCAGCGGCTCATGGCTCCTTTTCTCTGAGCCTCATTGTCTTCCTTAGAGGTCTGTATTGAAAAATAATTTCATGTTTCCCATTCAGGCTAAGTGGCTCTTTAAAGATGCCTCATTTTGAGATCACAGTTGACTTATCAATGACACTGATGCATGTGCCCATGCACATACACATTCTATAAAAAACAGTAAGTGATTTATGTCACCTAATTTTAGCAGTGTGCTTTTAAAAATGTTTGTCCCCAGCCCTACAGAAAACAACCTCCAAACACATGCAGGCTGATCATTAGAGACGACCCTTTCCGCTGTCTGAGGGTAATGAAGTGAGACAAACCTAAAGAGGCATCAGTAAGGAAATCCCAAGGCTCTGTGCACACACAGAACATGCAAAACGTGGCCTCAGCAGAATCTAAAATTACTTTCTATTTAGGGAAGGATGTAATATGTACTCCACAGAGTGATTTTGTAATTATTTTTATGCACGTAGAAACTGAACGGTCTGGATGACCTTACTCCAGTAGAAAAGGAGAGCAGCATTGCCACCAGCTCTTTACAGTTACACACATGGTCCCAGCCACAGACAGAGATCGTTCGACCTGATATATCTTTACAGTCTGAAAGCCAAGCCTTAGTCATTCACCTTGGCTTCATTTCCCCCAAATAAGTTTCAGATGGAGCATACTGAAGGGCCTTCCCACTGTGCTGTTGATATGCCAATTATTGGATAAAGGTGTTAGGGGCTGGATTCCCAGTCTGTGGGAAGTTCCAACAGAAATTACCTTTTGGCAAGAGATGCTTCTTTTGGCTCAGCTCACCTGAAAATATTTTCATTTGGAACTTTCCTTAGCTATTTAACACAGCAGGGGCCTGACTCAAAGTTGGTTCTAGTGGATGATACAAAATAAACATTGATGGGGTATGACGTGGCATAGCCGTTCTATGGGCTTCACCCAACTCAGAGCTACAGTCGCACTGATCAGATTGACAAATGGCTCCAGCCAGCTTCTCCTTTCCCACCAGCCAAACACCACCATTTTCTAAAACCTGATTCTGGCAGAAAGGAGACGGGAATCAAGGCCCTCACAGCACTGTTAGGCTGGGCGCCCCCGGCATGGCCCGTGGCCAACCGTCTGCCCCCCACAGCTCCGTTCCCATTCGCAGCTCACACATGTTTAAGAGACATCTGTGGCTGGAGGACAATCCGAAACTTAAGAATCCTGACCAAAGAGCAAAGCTGCTCTGCCAGTCACCTCGTTCTGTGCCACTCGCTCAGCCACCTCACTCTCCTGTCCTCCCGCCCCCAGGAACCTGTTTTCCTCACCAGAACATGTGGGACAAGATGGCTCCAAACCCAGGTGAGTTTAACTGAATGCTGACACCAGGTGCAGAACTGCTTCCAATATATTATCTTCCCAGCTTTTAAGTTTCAGACCAATTTTTAAATAGATAATGTAGGGTAATGTGAGCAAAGGCTGTGAGTTTTGTTCATTATCAAGCTATCTACACAATGCCCCAATAAGTAAGGTGATCTAGTGGAGTAATGTGTCTATCCTGGGAGAAAAATAAACACCAGTCAAATCACGTTTTTCTTTAACATTTTCCATCTAAAAAATCAATTGAGCAAAGCCTGAGATTCCCTGCTTTTTAATGTTACTTCGATTTCTATTTCAAACTGACATTGTTTGTTAAAGCTATCAAATGGACAACACTATTGTGAAAAATTCGCCTGTGAGGAAGATGAACCACAACTTGGAAAAATAAGTGAGAAGGCATTTGACAGAACTCTAAGATTTTTTTAAAGTTAAAATGGTAGTGTATCTAGAAAATACCGTGAAAATACATATCTCAAAATAGAACCAGTTTTAGTCAGAAGGCTCAGGAAAACGACCCCTTAAAAAGCTGACCAAACAAAGAGAGCTAGAATACCCTTCCTGTTTGTGACTCTCCCTCACATTTCTGCCTTCAGACTGTACCCCTCTGGATGGCCTAAAGAAGAAGAATCTAAAAGCGGTGAAAAAGTGCTGGTATTTTTCAGGATCTCTTCAAGACAGTTTTCATCTTGGTAACTGGACTCTTCTCTCCGATCAAGGCAACTGGTGGACTTTATATGTCTTTGGAGACACGGGTTCGAAGACCTCATCATCATCTTCCACCCCTTCTTCTATTGGTTTCATCTTGGCAGAGGCTCGTTGGTGTGGGGATGACACATCTATCAAAGACACAGGAAGGAAAACCACTTAATGCATGGCCTCTCCTGGGGTTGACATGGTGTATCAATTTTAAATTCCAACTGAAAAATAAAACCCCCTGGGAATCCATTGCTGGTACCAAGAACATAGTCTCCCTTAGCACTGTATTTTCAATCCAACATTTCAATGAAACAACCAAGTCAACAAGTGATTCTCAGTCATGAGAACAGATGTGAAACAAATTCCACTGCATGTGCTTGTGTGATAGGAGCTTCTCAAACACACGCAGTTCCCAGTGGGTTGCCCTAAAGTCTATTTAGGACTCAGAATGTTCCTACGTGAATATTGTACCTGGTGACTGGAGTCCCTGGAAAGCTGATTTAACTCCTAATTTCCCTAACGTATGGCTTTATTCTAAAACTATAGGACCTAACACCATCTGTAGCACCACCTAAGAGAAGGGGTCTTGTCACCACCTGTCCAGCCGCTCCCTGGACTGATATGGAGATGGAGGGGGGGCAGGGGCACGTGGGACAAGGAGAGGGCCCAGGCATGCAGCGGGGAAGAGCCAGGTGGAGCAAATGCAATCCCAGTGGCAACAAAGGCAAGAGCATCTCAGGGCCCTTCAGGATGTCATTTCATCAAAGGAACCAATCAATAAATGATTCGTTCATTCAGCACCTCATTCATTCACACATTCACCAAAAGCTTATTGAGCAGCTACCATATAATAGACCCCATGCCTGATGTATAAAAAAATATTGTCTAAAAGTAAGAGAACTTATTATAAATAGGTGCATAGCCTCCTCAAGGTGCCTAATAACAGCTCACATGACATCACAAACATAATCTCTCCTCCATACAGTTCCCACATTCAATGTCAGCATCTGTCTTGTCAGGGTCCATCCGCCCCACCCACACCCGTGCCACCTTCTTGATGCCTGCTAGCACGATGGAGTGGCATTCAGCAAATGCTGGACTCAGACTGGGCGTGAGGTCGATGATGGAAGAATAATGAGTGAAATCTGACTCTTCAAATACTTGCTGTACAACAGAGGTAGTAGCAGGATCCTATTAAGACAGGAAGCAGAATGGCTACAAGGAATTTATCCAGATCAACTGTTAATCCTTGGCAAGACTCAGCAGCAGGCACCAGGGCTGGCCAGCCCTCAGAGCAGGCTGCAGTCAGCAGGGAGGGCAGAGGCCAGCCGCAGGACCCATGGCACAGGGGCCAGCAGGTCTAGATCAGAGGCTCAGGTAACAATTTCAGGGTTCAAGTCCCTGCTGCTTCCTAGCTCTGTGACAGGTGCTCCATTACTATGCCTCTCTAGGCCTCAGTTGCCATATCTGTAGAAAAGAGATATTCACTGGACCTGCTTTATGGGGTTGTTGGGAGGATTAAACAAAATAATCACATAATGTGCTTAGCAGGGTGATGGGCACACAGAGAAAGTCACTAAATGGGCTTGGCTGGCGTGGCTCAGTTGGTTGGAGTGACGTCCCATAATCAAAAGGTTGTGGGTCCAACTGCCGGTCAGGGCACGTGCCTCGGTTGCGGGTTTGATACCTGGTCCTGGTGTGCAAGATCTCTAGTCTGGTGCAAGCGATCCTGGGCCCAGGCCTGTTACAGGAGGCAACTAAGTGATGCTTATTCTCACATCAGCGTTTCTCTCTCTCCCTTCCTCTCTTTCCAGAAAATAAATGAGAAAATGTCTTTGGGCGAGGATAAAACATTTTTTTAAAAAAGAAAATGTCGCTGAATGTCATTTCTTATTAAGTATATAGTCACTGCCGTACATCTGGGGAAATGCCACTACCAACAGCCGCATCTTCCAAAATAAAAAGGTCATATTGTGCAGGCCCGGGCTTTGGTGTAGCTTAAGGAAGTGCTTGGTGTACCTGCACAGAAACTGTTCACTTTCAAAAAATTACAGTCGATTAAAATACTGAGTTTCTTGAAAGACACCTAGTGACAAACTGCAGAAAATAAACCTGTATTAAAACAGTCCAAGAACTTAATTCCATCACAGAGCACAACGTGGCAGAATCCTCCCAGGCAAGGTCTTTTTAGCCTTTTTCACGCAGGTGACACCAAACACACCAAACACAACCTCCAATTCACATGTCCACTCAAATAGCAATGAATATTATCTGCGTGCCCTTGGGCAAGTTACTTCACTTCTCTGTACCTTGACTTCCTTCTCTGTAAAACAGGAATAATAATGATATTTTCTACTTCTCATGGTTGTTAGGTGGAATAAATGTCTTAATATTTGTAAAGTTCTTACTTTGGTCAGTGTGTGGGATATGATAAACACTTCGTAAATATTTGTAAATCAATAAAATGAGTGTATTAATATGGTCTTTGGAGGGCAATAAATAATTAGGTAACTTGTTAAAGTTCATCACTGCCCATGAGAATGGCACAAAAAGACATGGGACTAGTGCTTGGATCGGGGTTTGTGTTTTTCAGTCTAAGCTGCCCTGAGTGCAGTATGGTTGTCTTTTTTTTTTTTTTTTTTTTTTTTTTAACAATAGACATGCCTTTCATCATATTTCTAGGTTCAAGTTATGATTTTTCAAAATATTTTATTTATTTATTTTAGAGAGAGGGGAAGGGAGGAAGGGAGGGAGAGAAACATCGATATGCAAGATAAACATTGATCGGCTGCCTCTCACACATCGCCAACTGGGGATCTGGTCTGCAACCCAGGCACATGCCCTGACTGGGAATCGAACTGCTGACCTTTCGATTTGTAGGACAACGCCCAACCCACTGAGCCACACCAGTCAGGGCTTCAAGTTACAATGGAGTCTCATAAAATATTAACTTAAGCTGAGTATTTGCAATCAGATAAAACCCTCAGAACAAAGAAGATGGCATGTCTAAGAGCACTGAACCAAATCAATAATGTAGAGCATTCAGAAATTACTGTATACTACATATAATGGAAACAAGACTAGTTTATTTTGACTTAGGAAGTGGGACCAATTGATCGCTAGTTTTTAAGCCCATCTGTCAGAGCAGGGGCGATGATCCCCAGTATCCTGAGGCTGCTATCACCGACGGGGCCAAAAGGCTTTGACCCTCTCACTACCTCACTAATCACTGCATTTTCCCACGAGAGAAAATGGAGAGAGGGCCCAAAACAACTGGAAAGGACCTAGTGAAAACTTGCCGTGGATGTGCAGTTCTCTGTGAAAGAACTTCCTCTGTCCCCAGTCTCTCTGCCTGGGGAAGAAAGGGCTGGGGCGCTTCCTATACAACACTAAAGGATAGTAGGGCGAGAGGCATCCGCGGTCCTGGGGCGGCATCCAGGGGTCTCCAGGCGGGCCACCTTCCAGTCCAAGCGCTGGCAAACTTTACTGACCCCCCAAATCCCACCTATCCTTTTTCTCTTCTCCTCTTGCCTTTCTTTCCCCCTGGAGCAGTCTTTCCACTCCCATCTCTACTCACCAAATTCCTATCCCTTCCCCAAGGCAGAGTTCAAACCTCACCTCCGTCATGTGCAGTCTTCCCTAATTCCTTCTGTGGGGAGATTCCATTCCCCTCCAGACAGCTGCAGCCCGCACATATTCTATACCACATTGTGGCCATAAGTATGTGCATCTCTCCCTTGTTGGGAAGTAAGCCTTCCCCTCCCGCGGTTTCTCAGAAGTACCCCATGCATAGCCGGTCGTTGATGATTACTTAGTATGTGTAAAAAAACCCTCCTCCGAAACTGCATGGAGCCTTCAGAAAGCTGATCCTTAGGATCAGGGAGAGAGATGTTTCCACAAGGCCAAAACGTTTCATCTCTGCTTCGTCAAGCCCCCAGCCTACCAGTGGGGCGCCAGCAGCATTCAAGCGCGGGCAGCGAACCCTCCTTGTGGAAAGGGACTGTTATCACTACAGGCTGTATCAGGTTCCGAGGTGAATCACTTTCATATAATTGGCTGGCTCGACGGTGTTGACAGCAAAGAGTACTGTCCGCCAAGTAAGGTATGTCCGTAGCATCACCTGCTACAAAGTTTTCATCTGATCAGCCATACAAATCTCAGAGGGACTACTACAAGGTGCTAGAGGGTAGGTTAAATGTTGGGGGAAATAAAAACAAACCGGACTTCGTTTCTGACGCTTTTATTTGTCAGGAACTCAAAGCACTTTTCAGAGTGATTCATCACATTCATACTATTATTTCTATCTTATACCCAGAAGCTAAACCTGAACAACCTGTGAAAGCAAACAAAGTGGGGGAGCTGCTATGGACGAATGCCTCTCTCACCAGGGAGTGAACCACTTCGAAGCACATTCTAGCAGGAGAAACCAGGCGGCCCCAATAGCCCCACAAGCCTGCAATTTTTCTGCTAAAGCACTTTTCACGTGGAGAGTGCCAGATTCGCTTTCATTTAAGGCTTTGTGGCTGGGTCAGAGCCCACAAGTCCCCCGCCCCAGTTCCCACAAGAACAGCGCTCTTTCCCCATGGGGCAGATGCACCTGAAACTTTACAACAGAAACACAGCCTCACCGCAACCGCCAGAACCTGCCCAGGGCCAGCTGGCTGCCTGACACCTTGATAGGAATCACGGTCGCCCCAGGTGCCCATACTTGGTACCGACCTCAGGTAGCTTGGGCCTCCTGCACCATGGAGGGCCAAGTAGGACATTCTTGAGGCCCCTCCCCGGGAATCTGCCACTGTCATGGCCAGAAGAAAGGGAGGCTTCCAAGAGCAAGGAGCTCACCTGGCCCCTGGCGTTCTCCAGCCTCCACAGGAGTCCTGCTGGGTCAGTGGGAAGACTCAGGGGCCTTCGCTATGCTGCTAGATGTCATTATTTTGTCCACTAATAAATCCAAACGCAATTTGGAGTGTGCAGAGAGAGCGAGAGAGAGAATATTCTGCTTTGAGGGAACTATCTTACATTTCACAAGTTGAACATTAATAACTTCTTTCTACAAGTTTGCCTGGTTTTTCATTAATTTTACGCACTGATGTGTCCTCAGGTATTTGACCAGAAGGTCCCATATCTTCCCTAGATGTGC